GCATGATGATGCTTCTCTAACCTTAACTTCCTTATAACAGCTACCCAAAGCCTGGGTTTACACATCCCTTCTCAGGGGCCATTTCCCCAACGCTTATTACAAATGATCTCAATTTGACAGAGCTGCTTGTTGAGAATGTTGTGGTAAAGGAACTCGAATTTTGAAATATTGCTCTAATCAAGTAAGTACTAAGACTAAAACTGCCTTCACAGGAGTAACTCTGACCTAAAAGAGGGAGTTATTTGAAAACTCTCCTCCTTAAACTAGGACTCTGCCCTCATTTGCATGAAGAATGTACTTGGCCCTACTGAATCTCTGATTTGCAACTCTGAATACCAGTGTCCTTCAATGGACCCAATAATATTTCCTTCAGGACAGACCTGAGAGAGTGTACTAGGATGTGTATATGCTTTGGAAGATCAGGGTTTGGAGGAGCAGGTGGGGGAAAGACTATATTAGTGGGAGTTGAATTGAAGCCTCCTTTTTCTGTAATTTCTATCTTTTCTATCTAAAAAGTCGATCAAGCTCCTTCCAGTGTTTCTGGGTCCTTCACCCAAGCTTCCTCTGCATAGTTTTGTAACTCACCTTATTCAGATTCTGCGATCCTGTCACTGTTTGCGCTTGGTATCAGTATATGGAAGGGAAGAGCAGAGTCTGCGTCTTTCTTCTCTTAGTGCCCAAGGAGTATTCAGTAGTGGACAAAGGAATGACAGTGGGAGGCACAGCACTCCTGATGATTTGTGCTGCTGGTGGAGTGGAGGGCAGGGTCAAGGATATCTTTTTGTGTGAACCTGATCCTACACCTTCTCATGTAGAACACTTGAGTTCACTCTGAGAATAGCCTCCAGCAAAGGCTGCAAACATCAAAGCATGACTCCTGGGTACAAAGGAATTGCAGGGCACCGAAGAGTGACCCTAGAGAGGGTTATCTATAGTTTTCAGAAGACAACTAGAGATCTGACTTCTAAACTCATTGCCTGACTAACTTCTGGGCTATAATTTGCTGGGCTATGTTCTATGGGAACTCCAGGGGGGAAAAAAAAAAAACACCTCTGGAGGTATGAACTGTGGGAACTTTGCTGAAAGGAGAAAGAGTATTTCGTCCAAGGTGCAGTTTATGGATAGACTGAGACACTGAAATATGTCTATCAACATCTTCTATCAACATCTTCAAGGATGGCTTATAGCTAAGCTACCACCATGGAATTTCTCACCGAGCCACATTATTATTAGAATATCAGAATGTTCAGCTTACATCCAGAATTTACCTTCAGACTCTAACTCATATTAAGCATTCTTGGAATAATAGGGAATCATGTGGCAGTAGACTGGCTGGGAGGTTGGCTCAAAGCACATTCTTTATATCCTTCTATACTCTAGTTCTTTAGGTGACCAAGGGGGAATTCTGAGCATCTGAGTTTGGATACCTTAGAGATGATTCCAAGGACAAATAAGGTCACAATCATTTGCACATATGTCTTTCTTTCCCTGCCTCCCTCCTCTTTCTTTCCTGAGGATTGAACCCAGGGATGCTCTACCACTGAACTATATCCCCAGCCCTTTTTATGGTTTATTTTGAGATGGGATCTCATTATGTTGGCCAGGCTTGCCTTGAACTTGTAATCCTTTTGCCTCAGCCTTCTGAGTGGCTGGAATTACAAGTATATACCACCATGCCTGGCTTGTCTACAGCCCTTTCTAACAAGTTTGTGTTACCTACTGAAGGTTAAAATTCAAGTAGTGCTTCAATAAATATAGAAAAGATGGGGGACCAATATTTGAAAAAACAAGAAAAAGATCCAGAGTCTTTCAAAGCATCATATTTTATGGGATCTTATAGAATATCAGCAAGCAATTTTGAGACTTATAAGAAGAATGCATGTGAAAGTAGTTCTTGAATAATATTTGTTATGCTGGCATCTATTGTTGATAATATTATTGCATGTAGGATTATTCTATCCTAGACATTTCTAGTGTTAACTAGTTAATCCAGTATGTTCAATAAGTGATATTCTACTTTAAATATAAAAAAAATTACTGTGAACTCCAGGCACATATCAGGAATCCTACAATACCCTAAGCCCAAAGTCCTAAGTCCTCTTGGATATAAAGCAAATTATATAGGAAGCAACCAGAACTACATTGTGGGGAGCAGTATCCCTTTGTATTACCTTTGTTGGTGACTTCTGATTTGAGTTATTAGAGTGATATTATCCTTTGAATATAAATTTTCAGTTATTTCTTAATCATTTTGTTTCTTTAAACATTTTCTTTAACTCTTTTTTTCTATTAGTTCTTTGATATTTCCTTTGTTGATCACTATTCAATACTTTTTTTTGTTACACCTGTTTTCAGAACCATAATAGAGACTTAAGTTTCCTGATGCAGATGACAAGAATGTCTCAAGGAGGCTTCATGTGGGCTGCACATGCTGCCCAGGGTTGCCAGCTCGGTGGGTTCCTGTGCAGTCTATCAGAGAATCAGATAAAGGCCCTGGGGGATGGGAACAAGTCTATTGGGACTTCTTGTTCCAGCAGAAGGGAGACCCAGCAGTGACAGAGTCAAGCTGGCTCTCAGGACAAAGGAGCTAGTGTTATTCATGTGAAACGGGGAGGGGGTGGACCAGAGTTTAGGACTATTAATTGGCTTTAGATGCATTTTAAAAGGTGTTTTTCTTTGGGCAAACTTTTCAATCTTGAGGGAGGGGTAGTCAGCTGGTCGTCTTGGTGTAAAATGTTAGTTTTTTTTTTTTTTATTATCTTGCTGCATCTGGTATAAATGGTTCTGCCCTGGGATAAGGATGAGCTGCTGTAGCTGTTAAGAGAACACAGATGGGAAATGGGAGTCAACACAAATCAGGGCAAAAACAAGTTAAGGGCCCTGGCAATTTTCTGTGTTGGTGACTCCTCAACAGTTTTATCCTTTTTGTTTCTTGGGGAAGTATCCTGGTTTTAATCATATATCTGTTTCTGAGGCTAGTGACAGAGTTAGTGAGTGAGGGTACAGGAAAGGCACACATTATGCTCTTTATAGCTAAAAAACCATGAGTTAAAACAGAGTGCAGGGGAAAGCACATACCATGCTTTTAATAACTATCAAGCTGGCCGTTGAGGTCTCTGAACTTTGTAGGAGAGATCTGACTGTCTCACAAGGGCTCCAAAGATGGAATTCCCAGGGTCCAGGAACTGATGTGTTGGGGAAAAAAAATGTTTTTGTTTTCATTAAGCCACAACTGGATTTAGCAATTCCTTCATTTATGAATGTAGGGAAAAAATAGAAATCATAGATTTTTATATCTGTTTACATTGCTACAAATATCTCAAAATCATTTACATTGATTAGAAGTTCAAAATTATTGTCATAATTATGTTCATATTTACACCGTATTACTAAAAACATTAATAAATACATGTATTATTATGTATTACTAGGTCACAAACTTTAAATATTTGATACTTAATTTCCTTTTTAATCCAAAGGATTGTACTTGATGATATTTGTTCTCTTGTTTTCAATTATTATGTTTGCTCTTAATTGTTCTTTGGCTTCACCACAATGCCAAAGGCCTGAATGCTGCAAAAACAAAACAAAACAAAAACAATTTAACCCCCTTTCCCAAGGGATGGTAGAGTAACCCAATGAAAGAATTTTTTTTTTCCATCAGTAACTATTTATTATAAAATTATTATAGTTTTATCTCAAAGGATTAAAAAATAGTGATGCTCTGCTATCACCATACGTTTAATATAAAAGCCCTTTTCAAAGTACCAAATTCACATCATATTTGATTACCAGCTATTCATATATACATCCAATTTTTAAAAATTTATTTATTTACTCTGAGTTGTTATACATGATAGCAGAATGCATTTCAATTCCTAGTACACATATAGGGCACAATTTTTCATGTCTCTGGTTGCTCACAGAATCACACCATTCATGTCTTCATACATGTACTTAGGGTAATGATATCTATCTTATTCCACCATTTTATTCTATTTTAATGCTGAATAATATTCCATTTTGTATATATACCACAGTTTCTTTATCCATTCATCAACTAAAGGGCATCTGGGTTGGTTCCACAATTTAGCTATTGTGAATTGTGCTGCAATAATTATCGATGTGGCAGTGTTCCTGTAGTATGCTATTTAAGTCCTTTAGGTGTAGACCAAGGAGTGGAATAGTTGGGTCAAATGGTGGTTCCATTCCAAGTTTTTCAAAGAATCTCCATACTATTTTCTATATTAGCTTCACTAATTTGCAGTCCCACCAGCAATGTATAAGCGTGCCTTTTTCTCCACATCCTCGACAAGACTTATTGTTGTTGGTGTTCTTAATAGCTGCCATTCTGACTGGAGTGAGATGAAACCTTAGAGTAGTTTTGATTTGCATTTCTCTAATTGCTAAAGATGTTGAACATTTTTTCATATATTTGTTGATCGATTGTATATCATCTTCTGAGAAGTGTCTGTTCAGTTCTTTGGCCCAATTACTGATTGGGTTGTTTGGTTTTTTGATGTTAAGTTTTCTGAGTTCTTTATATATTCTAGAGATTTGTGCTCTCTCTAATGTGCATGGTAAAAATTTGCTACCATTTTGTAGGCTCTCTATTCACCTCTTTGATTGTTTCTTTTGCTGAGAAGGAGCTTTTCAGCTTGAATCCATCCCATTTATTGATTCTTGATTTTATTTCTTGTGCTATAGGAGTCTTATTAAGGAATGAAAGGAATCTTGATCCTTGAATAACTTTCATCATTTACCTAAGAATTCTCAAGTGATAAAGAAATAAAATTCTTTGTACTTAAAATAATGTGTTGTTTTCAAAACCTACTTTTACCCTAGCTAACCCCCTTTTGATTACTTTTACAGTTTTGATAAATGTGGTATTATTTTATTATTAATAAGGTTATGATGCAGGCTGAGGATACAGTTCAGTAGTAGAATACTTGCTTTAAAATGTGTGAGGCCCTGGATTATACACCCAGTACTGGGAAAAAAAAAAGTTATGATACAACTATACCTTATTAACATTTGTGTGTGTGTGTGTGTGTGTGTGTGTGTGTGTGGTGGTGGTGGTGGTATATCAAACCTAGGGCCTTGCTCATGCTAAGCCTGTACTCTACCATTGAGCGACATCACCAGTTCTCCCTTAACTATTTTAAATAAAGAGAACTAGGATATAAACATTGCAAAAATAAGTAAGTAAATAAATAAATAAAAAACTCAAAAAAGGTAATGCTGCAGTTGTTGCTATTAGGTTTGGGGTAAATATATGAAGTCCTAGGTCAGCCACATTCTAGCAGAAATACATTGTGCCCTCACACTTGTTTAACTCCAAAGTTTAGCTCTATTGTCCCCCCACCCCGCCCCAGGTCAACTGGGAGGAAGTTGAGGAAAGGACATCACCAGAGACTTCCTCTTTAAGTTGGATATTGAGAGAGTGCCAAGAATGTTCGTGTACAATCAAAATACCACCTGCTTATCGATCATAATAAGGAAATTCTGAGTGTGAAAGCATCAGTTATGCCATATGCATTATGGTAAGAATGAGGGAAGATGAAGCTTATTGAATAGATCAGGTACACTCTTAGTATTGGTCAGCATCATATTACTACAACAAAGCCTGGAGGCAATTAACTTACAAAATGAGAATGGATTTATTTAGCTAATGATCCTAGAGGTTCCAGTCCAAAACCAGTAGAACAGAGGCAGAGGTATAAAGACAGAAATAGGA